ATGATTCTGTGATTCTATGATTCTAAGACGTCCCATCAATACATGTGTGAGATTCAGCACTAAGCTAGGATCTATCATTTCCATCTCTAACAGCACTCCTTGAAACTACAGCACAAAGAAAGAAAGCTAATTAAGTTTGTGAACCCCAGCTCTAGAATATTATTGCTGAACTGTTGCATGCATTCAACCAGCTGGCATTGGTTAGTCAATTATTTAAAAAGCAACAGATAAGTAGAACAGCCAGAATGAGCTTATTTCAGGGAAAAGGAGTAGCAGCAACAACAACAAAAGCTGGAGTGCCAGCACAGCAGACAATAGTTTCAAAGTGGAGTGAGACAGACAACTGTCTAAGGAAAAACAGTAACGAATTTGGGAAGAACAAACAGGAACTTAGCTTCCACAAAACCTCTGAAATTCAAAGTTAAAAACTCACGTGGAAAGAACAGGTTTCCAAAGAATAGGTGCAGATATGGTAGAATATTACTACACTGCGTAAAAACGGACACACACTTTCATTACTCCTCTCCCTCTTCCTGGAAGCTATCTCCTGCTAGACCAATAGCCTGGTAGCAAATACACTTGAGATACTATTTCTTTTTAAAAGATTCATGAAAACAGTATCAGACTTACAGCTTGTCCATTTGCTTCATAAAGAGGGCATTTTTGTTTGATCTTAGCCAATTCCATATTCACTTGTTTGCTGACCACAGCCATGGGATTTCCTCCTGGAAAACATTTTGTATAGTTAACAGAGTAGTCCTGCAAAGTTTGTCTGCAATTAAATAAAAATTCCACAGTTAAAGCTATTTCAGAGACTAAACACACCAACTCCAGTGCAAAATGCATTCCGGTGAAGTGGTATAACACTGCCAAAGGTCTACTCTTCACCGCAATTCTTGCAACAAGGTCATGAAAAAAAAGAAAAAAACACCTGCCCACCCACACTTAGAGGACAGTATGTAAAAAGGGCTGATTATAAAAGCAGAGTCCTAGGGTAGCAGCAACCTTAGTAAAATTGAGAGCTTATAGCTATAAACATATCTTCAAAACATTTGCGAGCAGTGTTTGAAAAGCCAAGGAAAGCTCCAACAGCTGCACAGTAACTTCAGGAGCTTTTGAAAGTGTGGTGACATGGAGATGGAACCCGAAGAATTCGGTCCCTAAAAGCTCAGTGGAACTCCAACAAATGACACTAGTGAATACAATCTATGAAGATGAACCACATACACCAACTGAACCTGGAAGATGTGTAACTAAACAGATTAGATTAGAAAACAATCTAGGAGATTCCACATAGAAACATGATGAAGGCAGAAAGCATTGACTCTAAGCATACAGAATCACTAAACATCAAAGCCTCTCTGTAAGTACAGCAGAGAGAAGGAAAAGAACGGACACAAATAGGAAATGGCATAGAGGAGATGCAACATGGATTTTCTCCACAAAATTAACTTTGGGAAAAGTTTTTCAGATCTAGCTTCCCAATGTTCTCTGATTCTGCAATCCAATCAAACCCAGAGAGTTAGCTCAAAATAGAGGGGGAAGTTCAGCCACCCTAATACCTTCCTGTCTTTAGAGAGGTGACTGAACAAGCAGAACAGGGTTTTGAAGCAGGTCTAAATAAGTTCATGTTTCAAGTACAACAACCTACTAATATAGTTTACTAACAAAACCAGAAAAGACCCCATAACTTCAGTCTTTCACTTTCCTGAACCACAAGCTCAACCCCTTCAGTCATCTTCCCTCCTCACATCTCTTCCAGATTCAGAAATACGAAGGATGCTCTTCAAACCGCCTTCAGTACAGGAATCTTTCTTTCTCCATAGCGTATGCTGCCTCATTCAAGGCAAAGGGTAGATTATTTTGGAAAGAAAACACCCATGATGAATTAAATATAAAAATATTACAGTCTTTAACTAGGCAACCTTAAATCTGTTTTACCAGGACTATGCAACTTCAATACTCCTTGTCTGGAAACAGTTTCTGTATGCAATTTAATAAAGACTAACCATAAGATAGACACCAAGTTTTAGCAGTCAGTAAAACTCAGTTAGCTTCTATTATAGGTTTTATAATATTTTATCATTTCACTGCATTACTGGAGGGTATTCCACACTAAACACCTGCCCATCTTCTTAGCAGAGTAACCAGTATTAATAACTGATGCCATGCCATAATCCAGCATTAAATAGGAAGAAATATGGCTTGTTTGCCATTATTTTTACAAGTATTTTTGAAATCACTTAGAGAAAGGACTTTTGGGGTTTAAATCCTGACTTTAAGAAGGGCTTTCTCTTTAGAATGGCTCTGCTCTTCATTCCCCCTCCTCCTTTTTTTCTCCTGTGTAGTGAAAAAACATATGCCATCTCCTTATGGTCTCTTTTAACTTTGCTATTTATTTACTCTTATTTACTTTGCTCTTAGCTACTCAACTAATCCCCTCACTACATTCCTACTTCTCCATGTTCAATTTCAGCTTATACTTTGGAAGATCCAAGGGAACAACTAAGAGAGTTACCAAGAAATTCAGTCCACAGACCTCAGCTCAGAGGCCACTGGCAGCTGGGTAAAGCAGCTTTAGAAAGACTTGCTCAGCAAAGTGCAGTGAACCCAGTGCAATTAAAGGAATTGGGCAAAGGAACAGACACACAAAAGGGCAGCATGCCAAGGAAAGAGCAAGGAATTCCACTAAGCACAAGCAAACTGTAAAAGAATGGATCTACAACAGTTTGATGACATGACAAGCACCGGTATGACTTCAGTGACCAATGAGAGCTATAGCACCAACAAAAATCCCAGCTTTTAGTGTGGGCTGCCATCGGTTCTGAAGATTCACTGATGAAAAATGCTAACTGCCAAAGAGGCTGAACTAGAACACCTACTTTTTAACAGTTAAAAATACCCAATTATTTTGACCATGAAGGGAAATAGCATAAGGTTTCAGATTTGTAACATCTTGTCCCACAATTTTCCTCCCTGCTCCTTTTTATTTTGAAAAACTCACCAAGTCCTGTTACCACCATTGCTCCTAGATCAGCAACATAGTTCCCTTTGCGAAAGGTAGCAACTCTTCCTCCTACTCGGTCCTTTTAAAAGCACAATATATTAAACCTTCGGTAACATTCTGCAATACATCTCATGTAAATATAATCACTGAAACTTCTACAGAATATGGTATAAGTATTCTCTTATTCAAAGATTCAATAAACAGAATGTACACTTTTCCAAGAACCTCTGCAAATGAACACTTGATCTCAATTAATTTGCCTAAGTTAAGGAATAAAATGTTTAAGTTGCATTTAAAAAAATAAAGAAGAAAAAAAAAAGGAAAGAAAAAGAAAAAAGGTGCCTAACCTGATTTGGACAGATTTAACTATATCTACAGTAGGATCTACTGTGATTCTAAAATGAATCCTTCATAGTCCATTGATAGTTAAGTTATGTACTAGATTTCCTCCTCCCACTTCCTACCACAAAATCCAATAGCTATATAGGAAATGATTCAGCTGTGCTTCAGAAAACTAAATTTTAGGGTTAGAAAAACCATCAGCCAATTATTCCTATCTATTCTCCACAGAAGAGCCAGCTATCAATCAAGAAGATAACCACGAATGAACAGCCCATTTTAGAAGCGGGGAAAAAAAAGGTTTTGATTCTTGACACACACTACTGACTTAAGGATGACACTTATTTTCCTACCACTTTAAACTTAATAAGGAAAAAAAAGCCACCTTTCCCTATTCTCAGTCCAGCTAGCAGGATGGTATCAGAGCAATTAGGGCAAAGATCCCAAACAGCTACCAATTTGTATAAAAATGTAAAGTTTGATTCTTAGTAATTACATTAGCAATTCAGGAGCATGTAATCTAATAGTCTAAAAGTTACAGAAAATGAGTGGACTCAAACTACCACCTGAATCACTGAAATCATAATGCGAGAAAACACCATACAGCCTTAAAAAATAAAAAAATACAGACTACTCAAGAAGAGATGCAGTAGTCTAGAGAAAAATGACTGAAAAATATTGTGCATTATTTTAAAATAGCCTCTTGCCAGATCTACATACTGGTTATAACAAAGATCCATAGAACAAAACCCAGATTAAAGCACGGATCTCTTCCAGCCTCAAAATAAACCAAAATCAAACCAACCAACCAAACAAAAAAAACCCCACAAAACATTCAGGTGAGCAAGAGACTCCTAAACAATTAGATTGTTGTGCTCTCCTTTGCTCTAATGCTATAGAACGTCTGAAGCACAGAGCCAGCAGCTCTTGTTCACCAGCAACAAGAGCAGTAGCTAGCAAAATTAAGAGCCTGAAACATTACTCTAATAAAAAACTTAAGCAGATTATTTTAATCTGTGCTAGAAAAGTGTCAGAAGTAAATATACAAACAAAATGAAATCAGGAAGTAAAACATAAGATAAATTCCAATTTAATTTGGTCAATGGATTTATTTATTTTAAATGAATATCAAGCTGTTCTCAATTGATTAGATCATACGAAAAAAACTTCAACTTTACAAAAAAAGGAGATTCCACTTACGGCTGGATATAAAAGAAAACCTGATTACTGGAAGAACAATCAGCTAGTTCACACACCACAAAATGTAGCTCTATATAACTTTAAAGCCTCTGTTAAGCACACAGTAATAAACAAGGAAAGAATTAATGTAGACTTAAAAGATGCAAGAAAAATATCCTGCCTGACATTGTATGGCAATTCCAAACAATAATTCTACTTAATGGGCAAGTTTTTGAAATACAGACTTGCATTCTGCCGTCCAGTGAAAAATCAGTTCCTAATCATGAAGGGAAGAAGATTCCAGCCTGTTACTGGTGGAAGCATATGACACTAGCACCTGACTATACAGTCCACCCCTGAGAAAGCATTAGCCAACTCCCAGGGAGAACATATACACTTGTTTCCTAGTGAGACAGGTTTAGTACCAGGCAATACATCCTGGCTGCCTGTACACACAAGCTTACCCATCTTGGGCATGCTGCTGGGATACTTAGCCTTATGCTAGTACCGAATGCGGTTACTGGTTAAGTTTCTGCATAGCAGTAAAATAGCACAGAAATTCATACCCTGGCTTCCAGAACTGTGACATCCATTCCAAAACTCTGCAACTGGCGAGCTGCTGCCAACCCAGAGACTCCAGAACCGATAATGATCACCTTTCCGGTCTTCTTGGCTAGAGAAAGGGAAGAATAAGCTACAGGTTCTCTATGTGCATTAACACATTGTAAGCAGTCATGTTAAAGTTGCACTTAAGAGATACCAAGAACAAAAAGCAGCTTCCTTCTCATCGGTAGTTCTGACAGAACAAACTCTTTAACAAAACAAATAGCCACAAAAAGAAAATTGAAGTAATTATGTGCATAACATGATAACAGTAAAACACTTTACAATTTTTCTTAATGAGACAGGTACAAGAAAAATACACCAGTAGTGCATCTGTGAAAAGGAAGAAAACAGGAGGAAAAATACTTCTGAAGGACAATTGTTTGAAGAAACTGATTCTTATTAATTACTGTGGGACAAAGTATCATAGTTTTATTTCTTTCTGCCCCAGAAGAATAAAACCTAGGAAGGACCAACAAGTTCAGCACTTATAAAATCCAAGCATCATATAAGCACAAAACAGATATAAGTACAGTATTGTGTTTCTGTCTTTTGTTATTCAAATGAGGAACAAGGATAACCCATTAAACAGTGAGAGACACCAAATTATCTACAGAAGATTTGCAAACATTATCCCTCTCAAAGTGATTTACTTAAATACATGGCTTCTCCATGCCAAAATAAAAAACATGAACATCTATAGCCAGATGGTTTTCCAGCCTTTTTTTATTTTCTCAGCACCGCAATCCTAAAAAAAGCACTCAAAAATTTGTCCTAATAAATTACAGAACAATAAAACAAAACTCCAATTAGGAACAATTTTCAAGTTTCTTACTTGGAAGGGGCTTCACTCTTTTGTAGATACCAAAGTTGATTAGACCATGCCGCTCCAGATAGCTGTGTACTCTGTGAACAAGCACCGTATCACCTAAAAAATTGTAATGTTTTAAATTATTCTGTATGTTTGGCAGCACGTATGTACTGAAAACATATTCACAAGCAAACACGTCACAGCAGCAACTCATCTAAGTCACACTGAACACATCCCTTTCTGCGCCCCCGGCTGCCCTACTGAAGAATCCATCTTCTTGAAGAAGGCTGAGGTTACAAGTTTTCTGGAAACCACAAGCTGTTTTCCATGCTACGTTGCAGTTTTGAATACTGCCTGAAAAGCTGTACAGAACATTAAATGCTTCTGTTTATCTACACTTTTTCTGAACACTTTTTCTGAAATTGACTGCAGAAATCCAGAGATCTTCACACAGAACTGTAACGCGATTTGCCAGTTTTAAGCCAATCCATTACTGGAGCACTGAATTCTCATTTTTATTTTTATAAACACGATAATTCACTATTTTGCAATATTTGACAGTTTATCTGCATTCATTTCAGCATTATTTTCTTCTTTAATTACTTTTTCTTTATGGCTCCCCTCCACCCTTTTCCAGTTTATCGGGATCTTTTTTGAGAAGGGTGGAATGGCCTACATTTGCAAGCGTAACTCCTCGCTCTTTTACTGCCTTCTTTCATCACGGTCAGTCTGTTCAAGTCTTATACAACTTTTTAATGCCTCCCAGAAACCTTATAATTAAGAAAATCTCACAGGTGCAAACCACCATGAAGTTGTAGCAAACCTGAAAAGCTGCATATGAATTCGCAGGAAAGTTCTGTAACAACCCATCTTTTTACCAGCTTTTTGGAACTCTGCTAGGGATTTCTTTACCAGAAAAATGAACTCTAACAAACCTGAAACATGAGCATACTGCAATATCCCATCAGTACACGAACGCTCATGGAGCTCCACTAACAAAAGGACCCATCTTAAGTCCTCTCTTGATTCCGAGCAGCTTTTCCCCAATCAAAACTGACAAAGAATAGCAATGATATGTACAGTATGGTTTTGCCAGTAAAAGACTTGACTTACTATTATAAGGTGCTTCTAATTGTTGGATAGTTGCCTCAAATGTCAACTGAATCTTTGGGTTATCCAACCAGAGCTGCAGCTGTATTTAAACAAACAATAAGACACATTATATTAAGCAATACAAAGGAGGTGTTTTCCATGTGCATGTTTGTTACCAAATACTGTTAGGAGATGAAACTCTCTAACGAGTTAAACCTTGGCATTGCTATCCAAGCCCCACTGAACTTTGCCTTCCAGTGTTCTTTAAGGTGCAATACAGTCCATTTTAACTTCCGACACCATTTTAAGTAAGTGGAAATGCATCAAGTTAGCAATCTCCTAATCACACATACAAGAAAAGATACACAGAAAGAACAAAAGCTGCAAAATGGAAGAGCCAGAATGCTTATATGTACAGCCTTCCTTCCACCATATCCAAGTGTGATACATGTGATACTTCAGTTGGGCATGCAACATCAGCCAGCATCTGACTTTTCGGCATCAAATTTCACATTATTTTTCTAAAAGCTACAGAAGTACTTATCATCTCATGAAGTTTATTTATCTCAGACCTTTAATCATCTAAACCATCTTCACTGATATAAGACAATACCATGGACTACACTGACCATGTATACACAAGAAAGAACATTTAGAGGACAGTTACAGTTCAAAAACGAAGCAGGAAGAGCTGCCTGTGAAATACTAATTATGTCACTTCATGCTAGAAAAAAGCACAGAATAATAGAATCACAATTGTTTTCCCAACAAAACTACTTCATGGCATGGACGGCAATAGTTAATAAATTACATTGTACTGTTCAATGCCTAGATCTAGGTCATACATAGCATCTCCACACCATTTAGCATTCCAGAATTAGTAATTTATTTGGATATTTCTCTACAATTGCACTACTGAACTTCACAGCTCCACACAGATACCAAACTAAAGTGGAAATCATACAAGTATAATGAATAGGAAAGATTAAGAAAGAATTTCCGTATAATTTGGGAGGCCATCTGAGGCAAATTTCGTCTTTAGCACAGTATTTTCTTCTACTTGTTTTCCAAGTAATTTTTAACAATGTTCTTTCTGATCATTTCTGAGTGTGGAACTAACCATTTCATAGTACTACATACTCTCATGGTAAGATTCCATTCTCAGCTGGAAGAGTGCAAAGCCCATAATCTATATTTTTATATATAAAACTCTATGTATGTATATATACAATTACTTCCATTATTCACATTAGTTTACTTTTATTTAAAATTAATTTCATCTGCTATGTTATCACCCAGTTACTCGTAAGAGTCTTCATCTTTTGTAGTTTTTGTAGTTCTCATTTTACTACCTAAAGTAACTTAGTATGTGCAGCAAATGACATTTCTTTATAAATTCTGATTTTTAGACCTTCTAAGAATACACAGAACAGTGGAGGCCTTAAGACTTCAAACCACAACTGCCCTGCACTGCCACAACAGATCATTTATCCTACATTCTGCTTTGTAAATCTTCATGATCTGCTTCAACCAACAGTAATTTAGCAAGAGCTTTTACTGTTTTGGGTTTTTTTTTCATTGGTTGGCTGCGGTTTTTTTGTTTTGTTTTGGGGTGGGAGGGATTCATGTAGAAGATCACATGAAGTGGATCTCCTTTGCTTACTTTCTCATGAGTCCTTCAAAGAACTCAGATGGACTGTAAAGGATGACTTCCCTTTATAAAAGCTACTCTGAGCCTTCCAAATACATTTTTACTTACCAGGTCATTCATTCAATTCTTGGAGATTCCATTTGTTACCAGCCAAATTGGAAATATCAGACTTACTAGTCTAACTCCTCTAACTTCTGGGAACTCTGGCTGTTCATGCCCTCTTCAAGATTTTCAAATCCCTTGGTACTGTGCCAGCTATAAGTAAGAGGATGCACACTGCAGTTCACAGCTCTTCAGAGCTCTGCTGAGCACTAGGTTTATATTACCATTTGCTTCATCTGCTGTTCTGTAACCCCTGCTATCCTGACTGGAGGAGATCCTCTCACAGCCTTCCTTGGAAAGGGATTCCTGCTTAGGAACTTCTCTAAGTCCCTCCATAGCGAATAGAGACCAAAGACCAACAATATAGCTTTTTTAGTAAAGCCCTGCAAATATCCCTTCCAAGCATTCCTTTAAATCCCAGTCATTTATTAGTTTCAGTGGAAGACTTTTCTTCTTCTAATGTGTTTGTAAAAGGATTACTCGCTATACGTTTTGAGCAAACTGTTTTTCAAACTTTTTCACTTGCCTTGGTTTTTTTTACGCATCTTATGACTTCCCAAAAGTTACAACTTAGGTTAATTAGAGGGAGATTTCACAGGAATAGCAAAAGTCACGCACTTAGCATGAAGATGTCCACCATGCATAAATTTCAAATAATTTCTTTAAGTTATTAAGCACTGGGTGCTACCATGGCTAAAACACTGTGATGCCCCTTAATCATCTTAAGTTTGTGAAAAATATTGAATGGTGCAGATGATGTTTTCTTACTTAACTAGGGTAACAAAGCAATTTTCAAAATATTTCTTGCTTTCCTACTGTTAATTTTTCTAACATAACTAAGTTTTCTAAAACACTTTTCTAAGTACAGGAGAAAGCTCTGAACCCTGTTTGTGTGCTGAGGAACCCAAAAGCATTGTCACGATTTAAAAGCATCATCTGCAAAACACAATATTACTGTTTAAGTTTTATTAAGGTTTAAACTTCAGGCATGCTTGCCTGAACTCAAGTTAATGAACTCCCCAATGAATTATTTGAACACTGCCCCTTCTTTCTATATTTTAAGTTGCATGGAAGTTTTAAATTGGGCAGAAATGCTACAAACATTCAGAAGCAGAGCTTAATTTCTTCGATGTTACAACTTCTTTTATGAAATTGAAGCTGGCAAAGTAACTCTTCTGTTCTGAGAATAAGCCACATGACTGGCTTAACGTCTCAGTCTTACACCACCTGAATGCTAAGCAAAGTAAAAAAATAAAAGCTGAGAGGTTTGCCTTATTCTAAGCAACAATGTATTTGATTGAATATTATTTAAGTATTCTACAGCGACTTCTTTAAGCTGAGATCAAGTAATAGAACATTTGCACCAGCTTTCTGTTTGTTTGCCTTTTAAAAGCTGTATTAGCTGAATCATGTAGTTTTGCTGGTTGTTATGATCGTGTTTTGGATATTGTAAATATACTACAGATTCTTTATGCTGCCTCACAGCATTGCCTCAATCAAGAACTAGGTAACACTCTCCTTAGCAACTAAGAGCATGACAGGATGCCAGAAATGAAAGCCCACCATCTCAAAAACAAAAAAATCTACCAACTGTCAGACATGGTAACTGCCAAGAAGTCTTTACAAGGTACACAAATGCCCTACCCCTTTTTCATCGATACTTTTACAATAAACTTACGGTGCGGTTCCTGATGTACAGAAACACCTTCTGAGTCTGCTGTGGCCCACTGATTATATCAGGGAAGCAGGCAGCTTCTTGAGATGTCATACGGTCATGTGGAAGTCTACTCTGGAAAGCTGCACCCTCCACACCTACAATAAAAAGACAAGTTGTCTACAGGCACTGCAAAAGGAACTGCTAAATAAGTATTTTCCCACTCCCCTTCCTAGCCAGTGCATCTAGCCTTGAGGTGACATGGTGGCCAATTTCATATCATGCTTTCATTTAGTCCTTTTATTTATTTCTGCAAGACATGCAGGTTCCCAAGTCAACAGTCCTTTGAATTACAGGTATCATCTAGGGTTAACGAAAAAGCTATAGTACGGGGGGAAAAAAAAACAACCTGAAAAATAAGGGGGCAAGGGCACATATCAATATAATATATATTATTAT